GCGGAGAAAAAATGTATTTTAACACTTTCTCAATCTTATTATGCCTAATTATTTTGAACCCATACCCATTCTTTTGGTGTAGAAATTATTCAACTTGTTATTGCATAATAATCATTAAGATGATTTGTACGAAGGAAGACGAAATTGTGAAGAAATGAATTGGGAGAATGAGTTGGATTTTCTGTGGATGGAAGGAAATGATGAAGAAGAAATATGCAGCTCCACGAACCAAAAGAAAACTGAAGAAATCCTGAGTAAATACTGACAACATTCAGAAAAGCCAATTTCCAAACCAAAAATGCTGTTTGTACAAAATACTTTGACAAAGTTGGCTGACAAAGTGAGGTGTAAGGTGGAGATGAAATGGGTTTGGACGGTTGTGATTATCACCTGAAAAATGGGCGCCAAAATGGAGGTAAATGGAGGTGAGGGCTGGCCGGCTGGGGAAAAATTCACAAAAGCTGAAAATTATTTCTCTCTCCCACAAACATTTGGGGGAAAAAAATTAAAATCTCCATATGCAGCTGCATCCATTTTGCTCTCTCCGACACCATTTCCCCCAAAACAATTTCCTCCCAAGCCTGCATCCATTTTCTCTCTCCGGCACATCAGCCTGTAGTTTCCTCGTCCAAACCCATTTCGATTTTTTTTGAACAAGCTCGTTCTTCATGTTCGCTATATACAGAGGCAGAAAAATTGGACTGCAGGATTAGGCTGCTTTCTTCTCTATACCGTGTTGCTGTGAAGTTTATAGCAGTTACTTCACATGTATGCCACCTTGATATTTCATTTTGATGACAAATTCTATGCATGCTTGGCTGTGTCCAACTTGCATCGTGCAGCAGTGAGTGTGAATGAAGCATTTCCCTCTATTACCATCTCAAACAAGATCAGACCAACTCATCAATTATGCTTCTGCTGGCATTTTTGTTTTATTAATGCTGCTTTATTATGGGAACTCGAGGGCCAATCAGTTCAGTTTTGTTATAATGGAGAAGATTATCTCTTCTGATTATCTTGTTATTCTTAACTTGATCGGTCTATTTATTACCCTGATGTTCAGCTACTACTCATCCTTATATAGTATCAAAAATGAAGAGGCAAATGGCAACAGCGAGAGAGTGCTGTCCACGATCACATTTTGCCCTTTGTTGACTGATGTTTCAAAGAATTGCTAAGAACTGCCACGTGTATGATGGCACCAAAAATTGCCTTCTGATTTCCACATGTATGATGGCACTTAGAATTGCTGAGAACTGCGAATAATTCTGTATATATTTTGATTAAATATACATTTTTATTGTTCTTGAATTACAGGATTGAATATATTTGTATAGATTTTGATTAAATATACATGTGTATGATACCAGATTGATTTTACCGAAATTATGCCATTTTAAACTAACCAGATTGAATACGCTCTCCATATGCAAGTGAAGGTTGCAAAGTAAAAAAATATCGAATAAACTAGTGTATGGTATTAGGAAGCCTCTATATTGATTGTCAGCAACCAATGAGCTCAGTTATCAATTTTCTCAGAACAGAGTAAAAAAAAAAATTGAAATCCATTCCCATCGCACTCTCTACTGAAATAAAAAATTCTCACTCACATTACGAACAGTAAATAACGGCACTATCTCAATCATCAACACCATCAATCCGCGAAGCACAGCACAGATATTAAAATGACAGATATTAAAATGACGAAATTCAAAATTTACTGTGAGATTTAAAAGCAAAAGACGAAGATACACAGTAAGACCACCGAAGAAAGCTGTAATAATATGATTCAAAGATGAGATTCGTCAATCGATTTTGTTGTGGTATTCGACGATCTCTGAGGCTTCCAGAGCGGTTCGGAGCTGGGCCAAACACAGTGCTGGAGTTGACCGGCAGCCGGAGGTGGGGATAACATTGTCGGACCTGAGTGGCGGGATGAAAAGTTTTGTATAATGATTTGGGGGATATGGGGAGAGAGAAACGATGAAGGGTTTCCTTTTAAGTTTTTATTATTTTGGTTTTTTTTTAAAGCCATTGCCACGTCATTTTGTCAAGTTACTTTGTCAAGTAACTTGGTACACGTAGTTTGATTGATTCCCAAAACAAACAAAATAAGTAACTAAACCCAAGAAAACACATGTATCAACCTGCCACCATTTGTAATCAACAAGAACTTCATCCAACCTTATTGCACATTCACAAACTGTAATTGGTAGCAACAATACTACACAGTTTGTAATGAAGAGTTATCATGTCCCAGACCTGTCTTTTGGTTTTAACCCAAGTAGATAAATTCAACCGAAAATCAAAATTCAGTCACAGAGAGACATCATCAAACTTGTCGAATTAAATCATCCAAGTACAGTCAAAGTGAAACATGAACTTGCAAGTTCTACACTTGAACAACAATAGAACCAAAAGAATCAAATTCCAAAACCAAACATTGCCCGTATTCTATGGAAAATAAGATCACGCCATCCCCTCTCGGTATTTTCTACCACAGTAGAGTTTCCATATCTACATTATCCAATAACTAACATCAGATCGCATATTCGTCTATTTAAAATGCATGACAAAATAGAATTTCAAACAACATAACTGACCTGTCTTCTTCTGGTACATCAGTGTGTATGAGCTTGACGGTTGTGACTCCAGATTCAGGCTCCTCAAAGGTAAGGCGCACCTGTAGACGTATCAATACAATTAACAGATTCAAACATTGCAAATAATAAAATCATGTACACAGCACTTTGCAAACACAATGAGGAGCTGCCACAACTAAACCAACACTCAACAATAGAGTCAAGAAATTCAATTACAGGGAGCTGTTGTTAACAGGCTTGTGTAAGGTCACAGTCAAACACTCAGCTACATGTACAGAAATTCTGTATAGATAAGTCGAAAGATATATGCGTGCCCTTGATTTGAATTTCCGAAATTCAAATTAATGAACAGATGCATCCGTCAACATCTACACTCTCCTTGCTACATTGCACAACCTTTCTACATTTACTCTCTCCTTTGCACCTTTCTTTACATTCTTCAACATAGCAACGTCTACACTTTTGATTTTGAACTTATCCAACACATCACTGCACAAATTTCCTCCATATGGAGGATGTCAACCATGTTGTCGTGGTTGATGTACATATAGCATTATTCTACATTGCATGATAATTACGAGCCCCTACAGACGGACACTTTCATAAGCATCAATAGCTACATATATAGACACCACATGCTTTACATATGCACACATACAAATGATCATAGCACAAATTTATATCTAGAATTCATTATAAACGATAATTTCAGCCCCTATTCCATTCTCATTCTTTTCAAACTCTGTTCTTTTTTTTTTTCCTTTTCAACCACATATTCACACCATAAAAATATTCTACGTGTAAATCCAAATTTTTTTTTCAGTGCTTCTTAAGTACACGTTCTCACCAAACAAGGGCTTAACGTATTTAAGATAACTTAAACTCACTGACCAGCAAAGAATTTCTAACATACCTTGGACACAATGCCATCCGGCCAGCTCCCAAAACGCCAGTTCTGAACAATCAACTCACCCTCTTGCAGCTCCACATTTGTTCCTGTCACTGACCCATCAAAAATACTGAACTCCCCTCCAACCTCCTTACTTATCTGCGCATTGCTCTGGGTGAAACCCTTCCACCGGTTCTCATCCATCAAAATCTCATATAAATCCCTTGCTCTGCAACTGAACTTTTCGCTCATTTTTATCGTCTTAAAACCCTCCTTCCTCTTCTCCTCTTTCTTCTTGCTCTCCTTCACACTCACATCTTTATTATTCCCAGTATTATCATCCATCACATTACTCGCAGTTGCAGTCGCAGTCGCAGTCGCAGCAGCAGCAGAGGATGGTTTCTTCGCCCCAACTTTCTTAACCTCCAATTCATCCTTAGCAGGGCCGCCTTTCGCCATGACATCCACATATTCTCGAACTTTCTCTAACACAAAAGGCTTCCCCTTTGCAACAAACGCGTCTTTCAGTCTCCTTCCAATAGGGCCATCATCCTTGATCGTGATCTTTATCTCAGGGTCTTCACCCGCGTTCTCATCCGATATATAGGGAATTTCTACAGAACCCTCGGTGGATAAAATGACGGAAGTGCCATCCGAATCCCTCGCCTCGGCCTCGTAGGTGAGGATTAAATTGAGCTCATAGCCTGGGATGATTTTACCCTTTCGGACGTTGACGTAGGCTTCGCCATCGAGCTTTTGGAGGGTTTTGATGCGGAGGTAGAGGTTGCCATCGCCGGAGAGAATGGGCTTGCCAGATAGAAGGTTAGAAAGGTAATTTCGGGACCAATCGAGACAATCAGTCTCGGCCCAGTGCCAGTTGTGCACGTTGGTGCCGTCGGGGCGGTCTTCAACGATCCACCTTTTGTCGCCGTCGCCAATTCGTGCCATTGTTTAAAGGCGGCGCGTGTAGTGCGTGATGAATGGAGAATTTATGGGTAGGGTTTGTGAGGGTAGGATTCTAAAAGGATCTTTAGAAAAATTGAACTTTGATTTGGGGGGAGAGTAAAGGGTTTTGCAAGGTATACAGTACCGAGCTGACTCATTTAGAGTAGTCCAGGAATAAATGAATTGAGTGAAGTCGGCGCATTTAGGCCTGTAGAGTTGGATTGACCCAGGTCCTTCCGGCCCATTAAAATTATAATCAATTTTTCTCTATCTTCTTATCAATCATACATACTCTAATAGAATAATATTACACGTAAATTTAAAATAATTTTTCTTTTTTAACAAAAGATTCTTCAGAAAAATTATAATTTCAAATAATGCTGGCTAAACGAGTGCAAAATAAATTTACCCCATGTTTGAGTCTATTATTTAAAAATTCATTTTTAACAATATTTTCTCCCAATAAAATAATTTGACATACAAATTCAAAAAAATTCTTATTTTTTAACCAAATATTAATACTTTTACAAAAAAAAAAAAAAAA